GCTTGTAGCGGTCAATACGTTATCGGTTTGACATAGTGCTAAGATAGCATAAATCGTGTTCTGTTTGACTGTCTAATCATATGATATTTAACAAAGTATAAGTAATTACAGAGTTCTATCAATTATACATAAAACACTCCACCTATCGGTTTCTTAGACAGATAGTTCTTTTACTGGAAAGGTCAGTTATTTGTTCCGCCATTCAGTAGAAAACTTTCAACTAGTTGGTTAAGCGCTCGGCGCGAGAGTGATAGGTCCTGCGTTCGAATCTCGCGGGGTGCGGGATTGTGGATGCGCACTGCTGAGGAGTCCCATACTAGGACGCAGCGGCCATCCAGTGCTTCCAGGTTTTCCATGGTGGTCTAGCTTCAATTGACTCATGATTTCAATCTGTGAAAGATTTTAAAATTCTTATATATTTCTGTAAAAGTATTCGCAAAACAATCCAGTATTCCAACTACTTAATTCATTGTTCACCAACATTCATGATGTTCAGTATATGAAACATGTCATTATATTTTATGTTCAATATAGATGCCACAGGAAATAGCATAATGTTACTTCATCAATACCTTCAATTCATCGTCAGTCCATCAATTAAACGATTTGGACTTCGCAGATGACCTAGCCCTCCTATCGCATACGCATGAACAAATGCGAATGAAGATAGCCAGTGTAACAGCAGTCTCTGCATCAGTAGCCTCAACATACACAAGGGGAAAACCAAGGTCCTCAAATGCAACACGGAGAACAGCAGTCCAATCACACTGGATGGCGAAACTCTGGAAGATGTAGAATCCTTCACATAACTGGGAAGCAACATTGGTGAACGAAGAGGGTCTGATGAAGATGTAAAGGCGAGGATTGGCAAAACAAAGGCCTCATTCGTACAAATGGAGATTATATGCAACTCAAAACAACTTTCAACCTATATCAAAGTGAAAATCTTCAATACGAATGTCAAGGCAGTTCTACTGTACGGAGCTGAAACTTGGAGAACTACAACAACCATCATCAAGAAGGTACAAGTATTTATAAATAGTTGTCTACGCAAGATAATCAACATCCATTGGTCGGATACCAACAGCAACAGCCTTCTGTGGGAGAGAACAAACAAAATTCCATCTGAAAAGGAAATTAGGAAAAGACATTGGAAATGGATAGGACAGACATTGAGAAAATCATCAAACTGTATCACGAAGCGAGTGCTAACTTCGAATTCTGAATAGAAACGGAAAAGAGAAAGACCAAAGAGCACACTACGTCGGGAAATGGAAGCAGATATGAAAAAGATGAATAACAACTGGAAGGAAATGAAAAGGATTGCTCAGAATAGAGTTGGATGGAGAGTGTTGGTGGTGGACCTATGCTCCTTCACGAGGAGTACCAGGCACCAGGAGAAGAAGATATATTTTCATCTAGTGAAATATGCTAAACATTCATAAAAATAAGAATCCTAAAAAAATCTTAAATTAATTTTCTGCTATCGAACTGAACAAAAAGTTGTTCAGAAAAAGAAAAAAAAAAGTGTTATTGCATAAATTAGTTCACAATAGTTATGCTTGAAATGGTTCATCTGATTGTATATCCTCTTTAATGAAATCTGATCATACATTCATAGAGACAGAATAGTCAGTAAAATTTAATTAAATAATTTCCCTTGGGTTTATATGATGTAATAAATAAAAATATATAATAAAATAAGTTTGCTAATAGTCGTATATTACTGAAATAACCATTTTATATTAGTATATAAGAAACATTAAGAGATTGGAGTCCATGATTAATTATATGATTGATAATCAGGCTAATATAACACATAAAATTACTTTAGTAATACGTGGTTAACATGAAATAAATGCCTATCAACTTGCTTAAATGTGCTAAAATAAAATAAGTAAATTGATGTATATCAGGAAAGGTTTTGTGGAGATTTTAGTAATTTCAATAATTGAAATCATTAGACAATTGAAGTTAGACCGCCATGGACTAATAGGTCTTGGGTTCGAATCTCGCGAAGCAGGATCGTGGATGCACGCTACTGAAGAGTCCCATAATAGGGCGAAACGGCCATCCAGTGCTTCCAGATTTTCCATGGTGGTCTAGCTTAAACTATTGAAATTGATGGTTGTCAAACTTATGGGAATATACTCAGTTTTATCTGTTTCGTTGTTTAATTCAACTGTTCCTATAGAACAATGTTACTTGATTAGTTACTCATGTTACCTCTTGTGAAGGAATAGATTAACTTTTCATTTATAAGTTACTTATGTTTCTGTAATCGAATAAAAGATTAACATTAGAAAGGTTTATTCAAAAAATAGAAATTTCCTTTCACAGCGTCGTAAACATAATTATTAAATAATGTGAGTGTAGAAGGTATAATTCAGAGTTTAAAAGACCTGATTATCATGTTCAGTCAGTTATTGTTACAATACAAATTGTTATATTTCTTAGCCTTCTATATGGCTTTAAAATGACCCCATCATAAAATTAGTTAGTTTTGAAAATACACTTTTTTATCGAAATGTTTGTTGAAGAATGTAATTTTGATCTTCTACATGCAAAGAAGCGATAAATAAATAGCATATTGATTAGTAGAAGAGACAGTGGTTTCACCAAACGTTTTGTATATAAAAAATCAAAATGGTCAGAGCAATATCTTAACTTCTAAGATCACTATTCAATTCGTTACAAACGTAGAATAATAAAGGTTTTATTCAGTAAGATCAATCGTATTTTTAATAGCGATACTATTAAAAGAGACATGAAGCTCTTAACTGAAACTAATGAATAATGGTCATTCATTGAAGTTTATAAACCATTGGAAAGGTAGCAATACGATGAGATGTATGACGTTTTTGACATTAAAAAAACTGTCTATATTACCTTAACATCTAGAGGTAACTCAAACAGCCTTATGATGAAACAAGGACTGAAATTAGCTATCAGCAGGAAATTTTATACAGCCTAACTTGTCGTTATCAAGAAGTCAAGGTCTTTTTTTACCGAAACTTCAAATAACATGCACGCGACTGTGTTACATTCCAGTGCGTCTAGCATTTTACATGTATGTGTGGAGACACGTACACACAGAGGAGTAATCGTAAAAGGCAAGAAAGAGTGGTCGAACACACACCTAAGTGGCTACAGAAGCAAATAAATTCAAACTACCAAATATGGTCACAGGATAGACAAATATCTTCCGTCATTACGAAACGTTTGGGTGAGACCAGTCATAAGGTTGACATCAAATGAGCCTTTGTAGTTTTATACAAAAATTTTCAAGGGCATATACACAGGTTTATTGAAACCTTGGCTGTACAGAAACTGGAATTCCTATTCTCTGTCCAGAAACGTTTTGTTATTTCCCTTATCCTACCTCGTTAATACTGATTTACCGTCCAGCGTGATTTCCATAGTGTTTTTGTGTACTTCATTTCCACTTATCTTTTAATTTGCTTAGTATACCTTTTATTATTTGTATATAATGTCTAAAGTATATGTGTGATCACACAGTTCGAAATGTATTGCGCAAATATACCACATAATTCTGATGACCTTCGTCTTTTCATTACATTAACCACATTCACCGAATAAAATAAATTAATTTTATTTCATTGCTTTTCATTAGCTAGCTACATACAGGCTGAAATTGCGGGGAGTATTACATTTTTAAACGAATGTTTGACATAATACGCGTAGTGAAGTTGAGATGAATGTTCAAAACGAAACTTCAAATCATAATGGAGAGAACAGGACACAAAATGTATGATTAAAACATGTTTACAATTAGGATTTATTCGTATTTCAAAAAATAGTAATCGCACATAGAAGAGGTGATGTTGTATTTAGTAATCATCAAGGTAAAAATTGGATTACATAACCAAGATGGAAATAACCAATGAATGAATTTACTTGATGTAATTAGGTGAGTACCAATAAAAGATAAAAGAGATTTAAAAAAGTCTATTTTTAGTGTTAAACTCATTATCGCAACACAGAAAGGATTATCAAACTACTCTTCAGTACACATACGTTCTGTGGAAAATGTAGAATGCCTATTAGATTTGCAAAAATTAAGTAAACATTGGTGTTGATTATTTGTTATTTAATTTAGATGTCACAGTAGTGTACACTTCCTACCTACTTTTTCCGTCAGGTCCCTGTTGATCGCACTTTATTACCTTTTAAGCGAAGATTTCTAGCGACATGCTAAAAAGACGTCTAGTAGAAACTCTTATGTCTGTTCTTCCAATAAACGTGCTACCATAACTAGATGAAAATTCGTAAAAACTGTGGTGTGTGCAACTTATGTGGACATAAGTAGTTTATAACGCTAGTCAGGAATAGAATGTCTGGCAGCAGAAGATCGAAGAGGAAAGAACGGGATACAGAAAACAATTAGTATGAAAATGTAGGAACAATAAAGTCTGTGACAATTAATGAAATATTCACTGTATGGCTTTCAGATTTTATGAAGACGTTCTGTAATTTTGTGTTTACATACATTAGATTGTCTCCATTTGTGTTCTCATTCATTACAATAGCACTAAAATTATCTGATCATATATTTTATATTCTCTGCTTACTATGATTTTAGTCTCTATCTTGAATATTCATATCGACTTCACTATATCAAAGTGGCTAGCAATGAAATCCAGTTTAGACGCACGTTTCCTCCTAATTGGCACTCATTAGCTAGATATCTGTGCATCTCAGATTTAATGTTCCCTCTGAGACTCAAACCCAGTACCGTTCGCTTCAAACATCATTATGTTATCCATTTAGCTACTGAGTCCTGATGAAGAGTGCTAGTTGGCGGCCTATGCTCTTCCACAAGAAGTAACAGGCATAAGTAAGTTATTAAGTAAACTATATCAAAATTCTATTGATATTAATATTACCCTTATATAATTTCAATCGATTTGCAGTTAATATAAAGCTATAAAATATAATAAATTCATATTTATTCAATATATCACATTCTTCTTCATTTATTCAGATTGTAATTAAGTTTAATGAAATTTCATTAATAAAATATACTAAAATGAAAATTATATGAATACACGCAAGCACATTATTAAATCAGTATGCTTTTATTATTTTGTAATAAATAATGTAAAATATAAGATACATTTATAGGTGAAACATACATACTAGACAGTAACATGAAAACGGTATACAATTAAATAATATGAACATTTTACGCACACACACACACACAAACATGCACACACAAAAAAAGAGAAAAAAATCAACGTTTTTATTGGACGTAGTGATGAATATTTTGTTTGATTGTTTTTCAGTTTTAACTCATATAGTTTCATAAGAAATAGCATTTGTGAAATAAACTAATTTCGGATTTTCTTTCTTTTTTTTTCTTTTTTTCTTTTCTTCGAAAAAAATTGATCCAATATTATTTATTTAGTTATTTATTTACAATTGGGATAAATCTGATCTAATTCTTCCTTAGAAACAGTTGCTACACTTAAACGACTTTTTTTATTTTGTTTTTTATAATTTTGTTGATAATCATTAGATGATGTAATAAATTCTTGTATATTATCATTTTTTTCTTGTTCTTCTAATATTTTTTCTTCTTCTTCTTCAAATATTAAACAACCAACACCCATAATTCCAACAATTTCATCTAAAACATGACCCCATGCATTTCTTACATCATCAGTAAATTCTTCATAAATTAATCGTCCCCATGTCATTAAAATTGCTTCTTTTATAATCTAACAGTAAAGATGAAAATAGTTATAAATATAAAAAGAAAATTTTAAAAAAAAGAACAATTATTTCTGATCCAAGAGAGATTGTCTCTTTATAAGTGTTTAGGTAAAGTAATCTCAACAAAGTAGTTTTTTGTGTGAATGGGATAAAATTACTTATTTAAATGTACAGAGTATGTCTGTTTTAAGGTGGTCGTTGGAGGTAGTCGACAGGAAACCCTAAATTCGAGTTTCGTGCTAATTGGCAGTCGTCAGAAAAGTGTACCTGTAATCTTGAGGGAACTGATACTCCCTGACAGATTCGATCCCATATTACCCAGCTTCATAGTCAGAGACGTTACCGCTGAGCTATCAGGGTTGTGACTGCCCTCCTGTAGGATTGAGATGTGTTCACAATTGATTGATGACTAATTGGTCGATAGGATTCGATTTGCATTCAGAAGGATCTGACATACAGGAGATTGATCACAACCTAGTGATTAATCAATTGTAAGTATGTCTTTTGTATAATTTTTACCAGATCTGTGTATTCTGATCTCATGATACTGTACATTAAAAGTTTCACGTCACTTATCAATATCACATAAACAATTATTCTGCTATTGTCAGTTATATATATATACAAAGGCTGTGTAATCGTAAATAAATGGAAAATATTCTGTATTCATATTGACAAAACTTAAATATTTAAATCACTGAATAATATATGTGTTTTAACGATGTGCGTAATTGTCATAAGGTGTCTAGGTGGTAATTCAATTATTTTTTATAACGCTGAGGAATAGAGATAGATATGGGAAGAATGAACAACAATTGGTTAGAACTAAAAAGGAAGGCTCAGAACAGAGTGGTTTGCAGAATGCTGGTCAGCGGCCTATGCTCCATTGGGGGTAACAAACGTAAGTGAGTAAAATAAGTAAGTCTAGGTCGTAGTTGCTATATCTAGAAGATTTTAAGGTACACAACACAATGGTGTCTCAAACTATGAAAAAATGGTCATTCAAAGATTGATATTTCTCAGTGGTTATTTATGTATATTCAGGTCGTCATTTAAAATGCACACTGAACATTATTCACAAAGATCGGTTAAGAAACAGCCAATTTCAAAGGTTTGTTGCTGTTGTTGACAGTGACAGAAAATTTTCAACGATGTTGAAGTCAATTATTACATTTTAAAATTTTTAGATAGAGTATAACTACTTATTTAACTCAAGATATAGAGTCATTCTAATAAGAAGAGAGGGAAAATTCACTAAACACTATTCTTCACTTCATTAAACGAATTTCTAATTCAAGTACTTTTTTATGTCAGTCTTCTCTTATTGAATCTTATTTTACAGTTTACATTATCCATTTGCTAGTGCTTGTATTCAACATGTATACAGACGACTTTGAGCAGCATTTTATCGAATGAAAAAAATATATGAGAATAGTTTGTTTGTCCTAAAACAAAGAGGTTTACAGCCCATTGCTTCAATCCAACATTCTATAAAAATCTTTGTGTGAAAACACTTTTGATTACAGAAAACTTATATGCATATATTTGGTTATTATGATTGTATAGATTTTCATTAAATTTTCTTGATGGCAACCACAGAAATTTAACAGTGTTAGGTACCCATAAATGTTAAAAATATTAGGCTGTTGTAGTTGAGTTACCAAGCCATGTGAATCTGTGTCCAATTAGAAATTCCAATTTTTTTTATTACAAGTATTGATAAAAATGGATCAGTTGGTAGCTACACATAATTTTAGCGTAACCTACATATTCACCAATAAATAAATTACAATTTAATGTAAAATTGATTAATCCTATGATCGAACTTAATCGATGGTACAAAGCAATATAGAAGAATCTATCAAATCAAGCTGTCATTCAACTGAACAACGGAGACACTTAACTTAATGAAGAATGAGAACTGTAAACTTACAACTTATTAGCTAATTAATAATGGTTCTACTCGATTATTTATCTCATTTAACCAATTCTAGTAAAGAAACATAATTTCATTATAAAATTAATTAATTCTTAAATAATAGAGTTTCTGTGATTAGTTTATGATTAACTACATTATATGGAATATAGATTGTATAACTAACCTTAAAATATTCAATTTTCATATTATTTATAGCAGCGTGTTTTGCTCCAAGTAATGCCAATTCTTCATATAACGATTTACTATCACCTTCTAATGCTTTAACAGCCATGTTTATTACTCTCATAACTTTGGCTGAATGTCTTTTACAATCTGGACTATCCACAAGTACATCAGGACTAAGATGACTAGAAGTATGAAAAATATATATATAATGAATTATAAAGTATTTACTTTGTAATTTCAACTTGTCATGACATATAACTCACAAATTTATACAAAAATGTCTTATAGGATTAGTTTTCAACACGGACTAACATCAAGTGATTGTTCAGTGACTTCTTAATTGTGCACATATAAATAATCGTAAATCAAACCCAAGAATATCTCAGTTACATAATAACTTACATACGCCTGTTAACCCTCGTGGAGGAACATAGGCCGACCACCATCATTCTCCATCCAACTCTCTCCTGAGAAATCCTTTCCAGTTCCTTCCAGTTTCTATTCATCCTTTTTATATCTGATTCTATTTCCCGACGTAATAAGTTCTTTGGCCTCTCTTTTCCGTTTCCCTTCAGGATTCCAAGTTAGGGCTTGCCTCGTAATACACTTTAGTGATTCCCGTAATGTATGTCCTATTTATTTCAATAGTCTTTTCTCCATTTCCTTTTCAGATAAACGTTTGTTTGTCCTCTCCCACAGAAGGCTGTTACTGATGATATCAGTCTCATAATAAGCAGAAAGGTTAAAAAGTGTTAGTTGAGTCTCTATTTGTCTAATGTCACAGAGCACATTTATATGACTACTGGCACAGTTATATTTCACTTCCAATTTCTTGATGTTAATCAATATATTTATCTTCATTACAAGTCATCCTATTGTTTGAATGTTTCAACAAAACAAGAAAACCCATGATATTATATAAATGAAAGTAATTAAGTGTTCAATATGGATAACTGCCTTGAACAATCGTTTTTTTTTATCCACTTGGTGTTGTTTTGCTTGTATTTTCCTTCTGTAATTTAGGACTGCAATCGGTCAGTCTCATTTTGGTATATGTGCATCCTGTGCTAATTGTCTCGGTATAGCCTTAAGTCACAAGCTTTTTAAGCAAAGATGAATAATGGCTAGCAGTGAAATCCAGGATGCGCGTTTCGTTCTATTTGGGACTCATCAGTTCGGTGTGCCCACTTCTCATAGTTGATATTCACCCCAGGACTCGAACCCAGTACCGTTCGCTTCATAAGCAGGTGGCTATCAGGACTCAGTATCTAAGTGAATAACGCGATGGCGTTTGTAGCAAACGGTACTGTGTTCGAGTCCCGAGGTGGAAATCAACTCTGAGATGCAGGTACATCCAGCTGACGAGTCCCAGATTGAACAAAACGCGCGTCCTGGATTTCACTACTAGCCACTATCTATCTTTGCATAAAAAGTGTGTTTTTTTAATGAAAAAATGCATTCGGTTTAAATATTTCTTATGAATACATTAAAGTATATCAGTTACTTAATCTGTTATAAATTTTACAGATTATTAAATAACCTTGAAATTGTGATTAGTTTGTTTAATAAAAAGGTGTAGCTAGCTTGAAATTCAAATATGTAAACCAAAGTCTTTATTTTATGGTATTATCCTAGCGAAATGTATAATTAGTTAGTGATACCTTCTATTAATAATATCTGTTTTCATCAATTAAAAACAAATCAAAAATATATTCGTTAATTTAATGCCTACTATTTCGTTGTTTGTAGATAAGTGAATATTAGGGAATACCTAATAAAGTCATTTGTTCAATAAAATTCTATTTAAATAAGAAAGATTGGTTCAGCAAAGGATTTTCTTTTCGGCGAATCCGTCTTCAAAACTCTACAATCGTAAATATATTTACTTATTTTTCCATCAGGATAATAATAATAATGATAATAAACTACTGTTAGACATGGTGACAGTGAGGTAGAATAAGCAAAAATATTCAAGAAATTTTTATAACAGGGAAACTTATAATCGTTTGATTGTTAATGGCTTAAATATTCATCAAAAGATAGATAGGGAAATTATCATTGGGAAAGGATGGCTGAGCGTGATAATACAAAGTGTTGAAATTGAGGATAAATTTAATCAGGATGATCGTAGAAATCATTCGGGGGAAACAGATAACTATAAAGCACGAAGAGTATGAAAAAAAATCATAAGACATTAAGACCATGGTAGAACTCTTTTGGGTACATAATTCTGGTTTTTGCAGATGTATGGCTATTGCTTCGGTTATGCAAAGAAGATGAAATCTAATTCTCTTTGGAAGTCTTCTACTTACTTTTTAGATGACTTTGAACGCAGAGTTCGTCTTGATTGAGTGACTTGTGTTTCCAAGGTATTTGATTACTGAACTTTTTATTGATAAATAGTTAATCCATTAACAATCAAACAATTGTTAGTTTCTCTGTCTAAAAATATTTCTTGAATAACTTTGTTTATTCTACCTCATTGTCACCATGTTTAACAGAATTTTATTATCACTATTATTGTAATTATTATCACGATAAAAAATAAGTCTATATGAGATTGTACAGTTTTGAAGATGAATTCGCCGAAAAAAGAACTCTTCACTGAACCAATCTTTCATTATTGAATATTTTAATGGATGTATTCTGTTTACCATGAAGTTTTATTTAACATGTTAGCAACTGTTTATTTTTTGCCCCATTTCATAACGACTAACCACATTAAATATTTAATCATATCAGTTACACAACTCTTATTCATCAAAATAATAACTTGATAAGTAGTATTGAACGTTTTTCATTTGAAAAGAATAACAAAATAACAACAATCAAATGAATTATACTGATCACACTTACATGTGCTTATATATACAGTATGTTTTAATCTTATTTAACTTGTCAACTTCAAAGAACACATATAAGCGAACAATTGTTTTCAATTAGATCGTCATCAGGCTTTAATCTAATATACATGAATATTTATACGAAAATGTTAAACCAATCGAGGCAATTTGGGTCAATAATCGCAATGAAATAGAATAGGTCACCACACATAATTAGTAAAAATACAAGTTGATAGTAGGAAAACAGATTTACTGATAGTAGGTTAGAATAATAAAATATGACCAGCGATTTCTACGCAAAAGAAGGAAAAGTTACCTGAGTTGGCCTCCTCAATGTGCATTTACAAATTCAGCTGCTCCTGTGGAGATAGCTATATCGGGCGTACTACCAGGCAACTTAACCAACGAATGAGTGAACATCTACTAGCGTGGTTTATAAAGGGCCAGATAAAAACGATTCGCAGTTCTATCTTGGCACATCTCATTGATAGCGATCATGCTGTAGATTAATCGAAATCATTTCGAGTGATCTATCGTATACCTCCATCATTTCCCAAAGGAGTTCGTTCCCACCTCCTACGTATATCTGAATATATAGGAATTCGTATATACAACCCCAATTTATGTGTACAGAAGAAATCCGTAACCCCTTATCCCTTCCATGGCCAGTTCTAACTTAACTAACGATTTTTTTAAATTATTATTATTTATTTATTTTATTCTATTTTGTTATCATTAACCTTATTTCCACATCCATTATTTGTTTGTAATTTTCCGCCTCTTGACATTTGTATTCTTCAGTATTCCTAGTCTATTTACCCATGTTTGACCTTCTATTTCCAACGTTTAACTATTGATAGGACTTTTGTTACCGTATTTTATTATTCTTACCACTATCAGTACACCTGTCTTCCTACTATAAACTTGTATTTTTACTTATTATGTGTGGTGACCTATTTTATTTCATTGCGATTATTGACCCAAATTGCCTTGATTGGTTTAACATTTTCGTATAAATATTGATGTATATTAGAGTAAAGCCTGATGACGATCTAATTGAAAACAATTGTTCGCTTACATGTGTTGTTCTAATTTTCACAATGGGAATCTTTAAACTTCAAAGAAGTAAACAAAGAAAGCATTTAAACCATTCAAATTCTTCTTTCATGAATGAATACCTTATTATCTTTTTAAAAAGTAAACTCACTGTATCAACAATAAATATCATAGTAATTCTTTATTATAGAAATTGTCAAAAATGTAAACTCAGAATACCATTTTTATAAATATTTAAAAAAACTGATTTTTATTTTGTTTCTATGTCGATAATAATAATAACGATACTTTCAATAAATAATAAAAAAGAAACAATCTGTCATGGGATTTTGTTCATATAAATACTACATAGTGATTAATATTTTTTTTGGTAGATATGACTTACAATGATGTGAAATATAACGATACAAAAAAGAAACTCGTATAGTCTTCCAACAACAACAACAACAATCAACATAACAACCAACGTAGAAATGAAATTGAATTTCGTGTTTAATCAAATTATTCATTTCATAAATGTAACACGTAAATAAAGTAAAAAAAGAGAAGGAACCATTACTATTTCTTCGACTAGTTGTCAATTAAAAATAACAACGATCTATATATAGATATGTCGTCTCTATGGTAAAGTTGTTTGGAAAACGATAAATACTCTTCAAATGAAGTGAAGTGGAATATTTAAACAAACTTTATATGATAACAAAATGAAATGTATGTCTCCTTTCTAATTGTACACATGTATCTTGAAGAAGATGATTGTTTACATGGGAAAAATCTATATTCTATTCGTTGTATGTTATCATATGATGAATTTTATTATAATTTACATGAGTATCTTTGGACAAAATCTTTTTTTATCAAAATATAATTTGTATGACGTTTATTATTGTTTATATGTTAACTGAAGCTTTCATAAAAAAAACACTCTACAATTAAAAAGAATAAATACTGGAGTAACATCATAGTATTGAGATATAGTTGTTAATTTATATCAGACAAACAGTCACTAGTTAAAATGTTCTAAGCTACTGAATTAGGAACTATTTGTTCGAAATTTTAATTTTAGTCAATTGACAATACAGAGGAACTAATCAGTAGTCTAAATTTATCTTCCTTAGCGACACCCCGGTAAAGAGTTACAGATTAAAACAAAACAGATATTCAGAACATATTAGTTTTTATTGGTTCACCAGCTTGAAAGAGACCATCACAAAAATCACTTAAATATTTCATTTAGTTGTGTTACTACTGTCAAACAAACTTATTCAAATCGAAATTGTAGA